TAGCGCCCCCTGCACCCCCCCTACGGGGGATCGAGCCACAACCTAGGCATGAGCCCTGACCAGAATTTGGACTGTGACCTCCTGGTTCATAGGTCAATGTTCAACCACTGAGCCACACTGGCCAGGCGAGGAGTATTTTTTTAAAACAAAATGTTAAATTTATTCAGTAGACAATGTCATTCTTTTCTGATTTTATCCCTTATTTTATGTAACCAGCCCGTGGCCTTTTAGTGTGGAATTGAGGCTAATTTTTAGAGATCAAAGAAGAGCAGAGAATGTGGGCTTCCCCTTTGTCTTAGAGAAAGCATATGAAATGATTCTCTCTTCTTGTCCTACAGATGAAGCCTGATGCGTCCTTTTTATTTGGCAGCAAACTAGAAAGGTTAAATATTTTACTTATTTCAGTTACCATTTCCCCTCATTAAGTTTTGAAAATATTTCCTTAATTAATAAAGATAGCTTTAATTGCTACTTCAGAATATAAAACTTGTTTTTAAAGTTTTTCTTAGTGCTCCACAGTATAAGTACTAAAGGAGTGTTTTTTAAAAATATGTTTTTATTGATTGAAGAGAGGAAGAAGGGAGAGAGAGATAGAAACATCAATGATGAGACAGAATCATTGATCTAGTGCCTCCTGCACACCCCCTACTGGGGATCGAGCCACAACCTAGGCATGAGCCCTGACCAGAATTTGGACTGTGACCTCCTGGTTCATAGGTCAATGTTCAACCACTGAGCCACACTGGCCAGGCGAGGAGTATTTTTTTAAAACAAAATGTTAAATTTATTCAGTAGACCATGTCATTCTTTTCTGATTTTATCCCTTATTTTATCTAACCAGCCCATGGCCTTTTAGTGTGGAATTGAGGCTAATTTTCAGAGATCAAAGAAGAGCGGAGAATGTGGGCTTCCCCTTTGTCTTAGAGAAAGCATATGAAATGATTCTCTCTTCTTGTCCTACAGATGAAGCCTGATGCGTCCTTTTTATTTGGCAGCAAACTAGAAAGGAAACTAGTGGGAAATATCTTAAAGGAAAGAGGGAAAGGAGACATTCACGGAGATAAAGATATCGGATCCAAACAAGCTGAGCCAATCCGAATTAAAATCTTTGAAGGAGGGTAAGGAAACATAAGTGCAAATGGAAAAGATTCAGTGTTAAGTCAGAGGAAACGGTCCTGAGTGCCTGCATGGGAAAAGTGGTATCTACTCGGGTTGGAAGGGTAAAGCGAATTCCTTTTCTATTGACATTTCTGAAGCCTGGCTGGTAATAGATAATGAGTTCATGTCCTTGCATTCATGACTAGCTTTTGATGAACATGTCCCTGTTGTAAATGGTTGGAGCCTCTGCTTTAAATCTTTATGCCTCTAATTTAGTGTGAAATTGACTAAGTTGGTGGAATCTTCAAAGTTTTATTCTTCTATATTATTTGTATGGGCATTTGTGTGCTATTAGAGGGCATTTTTTATTCTATGCTTACAGAAATGCAATCCTGCACACTCACGTATAATCCTAGGCACTGGTTAATTTGTTTGTTTTATTGCTTTTATTACCTACACTCTAGATTTCATTGGGATTTCACCAGTTCCACAATGTCCTCTTTCTGCTCCAGGATCCAAGCCAGGGCCACACCGCATTTAGTTGTCATGCTTCCCCAAAGTCCTCTGGTCTGTGACAGTTCTCTGTCTTTAGGAATTTCTTTTTAAATGTTAAATTCTGAGTGGTAGAAACATGTTATAAGGCCCAATGACTTTGTTATCTGTATAGTTAAGAAAAAGTACACATATGTGTAACGTCTAGTTTTAGATTTTGATGGAAATGTATCTTTGATCCAGTCAATGGGAGAAAAGCCCAGATTTTTGCTTTTAAAATTTTAAAAATATTTAAAGCACATTAACCACATTTAGGAGATTATGATGTAACCAGCCTTATCTGTATAACAGATCTATAACTTACATATTTCCATGTGCGTGAATTTATTCCAATTATATTTACAGGACAAAATAATGTTATCTGTTTGACTATAAAATGTTGAATGTTTAGTGAAATGAAATATTGATTTCTCACATAGATTACCAGTTTGGAGATGGATGATTAAAATTGATTCCCTCTTAGGTTTGGCCTTCTTTTGATGGATGTCGAGTATTTTCACTAAAACCGTAGTTGCATATATAGTCATGAAGCTTGTCTCGCTATTTTTTGACATCCCTCATCTTTTGATACAAACGAGAGAAATATAGATTTTATCTTTCCTCAGAGACTGAGAGGTCCCTGTGACTGAATCAACCCTCTTACATTCAGCAGTCTTCATAGCAGTGCACTTGTACTAGATTAGAGAGACCTTCACAGTTACTGTGTGCTTTGGGGAGCCCATCTCCACTAACGAAGGACACGAATGAAAAAGCGTATGTGAACATTTTATTGCTGTGCTTTGATGATCCAAAAGGATTGTGCCCATATTTCATTTCTTCTGCCTTTCATTGCCCAATTTTATAGGCTATGTCCCAATCATCCCTTAATCTGTGGTCCAGTTTCTGCCTGGTGGTGACCAGGTTCATTCCAAGCAGTGTAGCACCAACTCTTATTTTGGTGATTACAAACTGATAACTTAAAAAAAGTATTACTGACCAGTTGTTTAAGGGTATGTGTTTTTTAATCTAATTTATAGATTTAGAATTTAATTAAACATATCCTTTAATTATTTTTTTAAAAAATCTATTAATTCTCACATCAAGTAGATTCATGGGTGTGCAGAATGGTAGGTTGGTACATATTTTACTTGTATAGATTTTTCTAATATAGAATAATAGTTTATACAGAACCTTACTATATTTCCATTCTGGAGTCAACTTAATCAGTTAAGACATTAAAAATAAAGTGATATTATTTGAAGGAAAAATGTATTCCCATCAACTATGATGATGGGCTACAATAAGTTTAAAGTACCCTTCTCCAAAGAAAATTAGCTTTCTATGAAATTCTTTTATTCTCTATTTCTTAGATAATTTCATCTAGTTAGTGGGAGAGAGTAGTGAAAATAAAAGGTGTAAGATATTTTTCATCTGTAGGTTCTTATCTACTTTATGACAAAACACAATGTGAGATAAAAGATAAGGTCTAAAACAGTTTTGAAGAACAAGTTGATACTGGAAATTTTTTGTGAAAGAGGACAGATTTAAAGGAGCAGAAAGCATGCAAAATTAACCAATATTTTTTTAAATCTCACCTGGATTGGCACTAACCAAAAAGTAGATCATATTAAGATTAAATAGTATCTATAGCAGATCTGGTATTTAAATACGTGTGTGGATTTTTCTCTCTTAAAAATTCTTCAATGCATTGGATGAATGAAATTGAACTTGCTTTTATTCCTGACTATGGATTAGCTGGGACCTGGGACGAATAGAGAAGTTTACAGTGCTCTGAGAATGTAGAAAATTAGAAATCTAGTGCCTTTAAGTCAATCCCCAGTGAATAAGGGCATTTTATATGTCAATTTACCTTTTGAAGTTATAAATAATACTTCAAAAGGAATATCTTTCCAAGAATGACATTTAGAACCATAATTCTAGCCTCGCTGTGATTTATGAGAGAATAAGGAAGTAATAATATTCACAGATTTATTCAATAGAATGTCACCCTACTCCATGGCAGATTATGTTTCTTTGTATTCTAAACAAAATATGATGTTTGGGCACTGGGTAGGTTTCTTCTGTAGATTATCACAGTGAATACCTAAGACTTTATTCATTTAACTAATTTCATTAGACATCCTTTCAAACTTCTCAACTAAATCCTCCTGGACACCAATGCAAATTTGATTGAAAAATTGAATCTCTAGTTTTCATTATGTGACAGTATCTCTCAGAAGCCGCTTGAAATTTAGACTCCATTTGTATACAGATTCTCAGTCCTTGGGAAGAGCAGATAAAATCTGTAGACAACAGTTGGTGAGCTCAGCTCAGCCTGTGTAAGCTAGAAATTTCCAAGGCACTCTCGTGCCAGGATTGTAAAAATAGAGTAGAAACTTGCAAAGAAGAATTCTATTATCAGTTACATTAATTTTAGCAAATTTGGAGGGGTATGTGTGTTGTGCATGCACATCTTAGATTATGTAATATTACTAAATGATATATGATGATTTGAATATGTTGGGAGAACTTTTTGGATGTTTCTTGTTTGGAAGTTTTACTAGAATCCAAAAGTAGTAAGGCACAGCTCTGCAACTCTTTTAGGCTTCTATAAGCCCATTTGAACATCTATAGCAAGTCCATATATTATACTTAATAGAAAAGAGGAAATTCCATGCTGAACTAAATGTAGGAGAAAGTCCATTTTGTTTACAATACCAAATCTATTATCTAGCTCTTTCAGGCATTTATTGCATAAATTTCATAGGTTTTGTAGCAGTAAGGTTGAATAATTGTAAAAGCCCCCATAAAAATTTGCCATGCAAATAATTAGCTTTGGGTTTGATTATATATATCGCGTGCTAAAGTATTTGAAAACACACTGGATTCCCCTTTTTTAAACAGGTATAAGTCAAATGAAGATTATGTATATGTCAGAGGACGTGGACGTGGGAAGTACATTTGTGAAGAATGTGGGATTCGCTGCAAGAAGCCGAGCATGCTCAAAAAGCATATCCGCACTCATACTGATGTCCGGCCTTATGTGTGCAAGTTATGTAACTTCGCCTTCAAGACGAAAGGTATGGGTCTGAATTTTTTTTTTTAGAGGAAAATCACTATTTTATGTAACTTCGCCTTCAAGACGAAAGGTATGGGTCTGATTTTTTTTTAGAGGAAAAAATGACTACCATGGATTCCAAATCCCATTTTACAACTAACTTTCACCGACAATAAGATGGTTTTGTTCGTGAAAATATGACCCCATGAAATGTGTTTCCTCTCTCATGTAAGTGATCAAAGGATGTATGAGACAGTGAGGCTCCTTTTACGACTTAAGAGCTATATAGAGTGAGGCCCAGGCCAGTAGTCTCTGAAGGAAGTGGCTCAGAATTGCCTGGATAGCTATTACTTCATGTTGGAAATGTTATGTGGTCTAGAGAACCTTTGCACCAGTATTGAAATACTGCAAGGAGACAATCCATGCAGTGGCATTAGGAAAGCAAAGCAGCAGCTGGGGAAAAAACATGTGCCCATGGTCAGTTTCAAGATTATAAATAATGTAGAAATCCACAGACTCCCAGGTGGGCCCCTCCATCCACAGTAGCATTAATTATGCATAGAAATTTGATAGCTTGGGATCTGTGTATTTATCAGCACAGAGACAATCTCTTACTCTCGGGTCATAACTAGGACTTGCCTTGAAATGACATTCTGTGTGTTTTCTAAATCTGTTTTTAACAGGTAGTTTCATATGAAAGCATTTCATAGGAGAAGGTTGCTTGATTATGTTTCTATCATTTTATAGAATCATGAAAGTTTTCATAAGCCTAGTATTCTCAGAATACAAACAATAGTGAATTGGAGGTGGTTTGACTTTTGTAGAAGCACATTTTACTGTGTTTTTTTTTTGTAGAAATACTAATGGATCCTCTAGACCAGTGGTTCTCAACCTTCTGGCCCTTTAAATACAGTTCCTCATGTTGTGACCCAACCATAAAATTATTTTCGTTGCTACTTTATAACTGTAATGTTGCTACTGTTATGAATTGTAATGTAAATATCTGATATGCAGGATGGTCTTAGGCGACCCCTGTGGAAGGGTCGTTCGACCGCCAAAGGGGTCGGGACCCACAGATTGAGAACCTCTAGGATGGTCTTAGGCGACCCCTGTGAAAGGGTCGTCGACTGCCAAAGGGGACGTGACCCACAGATTGAGAACCGCTGCTCTAGACACCCCTCACCCTTCAGGAGCCTCACATCATTTTCCAAAGTTTTAACTTTAAATTTGCATTCCAATTGATCTGCTCCACTCCACATCAAGAAAAGTAAATATCAGAGAAAAGATAGTCTTTGCTAGAGAAATGTGTACTTATTTTCTTTTATAGTTAAACTCCTGAATTGTTTCAATGGTTTGTCAGAAGTATAAATGTGTAGCCTCTCAATATACCTGTTTCTTCTTTATTAACAAGCCAGAAAAGGGGGAAGAGAATGTTCATTTGCGTTTCAAAAGAAATACACATAAGGTCCTTTAAATATCATTCACTTTCGCACCATCAAGACTTTCATTTAGAATTTCACGCAGAGACTTCCTGGGAGATAAGAAAATATAAACTTTAGTTTTAAAATATGCTGCAAATCTGCCAGTCATTACAACAGATATATCTTCACTGGACATATGATTTGTCTGCAGGTACAGCTGTGTGAAACACTGGGGGAAGAAACATTTTAAAGATATTTTTGAAATCAAATTAAATTTGGCTTTGAACCATTGTCTTGGAGTTTAGAAGGAAATAACTTATTCTTGGTCATTATTTTAGTTTACTATGCACCCTTTGGAAACGTGAAAATTTCTCAGAATCTTAAAATGAGCAAAACATTCTGGGAATCCCCTCCAGTTTTCACCTCTTGCTGAGATCCTGTTATCCAAACCCCAGACACCTGAGCTCAGATCAGGAGCACACTCATAGGACCAGTACTTCCTCCAGGCCCGGGCCACTCCTTCAGTGCCCTCCCTCTGCCACTCAGCTCCCCTCTCCTTGCTCTAAGCCCTTCAGAAATTCAAGAATCCCATAAACCAAAGCCAGCGTGGGGTTGTTTCAGAGCCAGATTTCTAACAACACACCTTCCCTCAAGATAAAAGCTCAGAGCCTGACCACCTGCTTGAAACGGGTAGAGAAAAAAATACAGAAGAAGAAACACATATTAAGATCTAAATAAATTATCTTGACCCACTTAACATCCACACCCATCCACATACACGATTCCTAGCTCCCTTGCAGAAGTAGATGGTTTTATCAATTTATACTTATATTTAATTAATTTTCAGATTTTAGAGTTCTTGATGATTTGTCTACAAAAATGTTTGAGCTTTTTTAAAAAATTATCACTGGACATATGATTTGTCTAAAGGTACAGCTGTGTGAAACACTGGGGGAAGAAACATTTTAAAGATATTTTTGAAATCAAATTAAATTTGGCTTTGAACCATTGTCTTGGAGTTTAGAAGGAAATAACTTATTCTTGGTCATTATTTTAGTTTACTATGCACCCTTTGGAAACGTGAAAATTTCTCAGAATCTTAAAATGAGCAAAACATTCTGGGAATCCCCTCCAGTTTTCACCTCTTGCTGAGATCCTGTTATCCAAACCCCAGACACCTGAGCTCAGATCAGGAGCACACTCACAGGACCAGTACTTCCTCCGGGCCCGGGCCACTCCTTCAGTGCCCTCCCTCTGCCACTCAGCTCCCCTCTCCTTGCTCTAAGCCCTTCAGAAATTCAAGAATCCCATAAACCAAAGCCAGCGTGGGGTTGTTTCAGAGCCAGATTTCTAACAACACACCTTCCCTCAAGATAAAAGCTCAGAGCCTGACCACCTGCTTGAAACGGGTAGAGAAAAAAATACAGAAGAAGAAACACATATTAAGATCTAAATAAATTATCTTGACCCACTTAACATCCACACCCATCCACATACACGATTCCTAGCTCCCTTGCAGAAGTAGATGGTTTTATCAATTTATACTTATATTTAATTAATTTTCAGATTTTAGAGTTCTTGATGATTTGTCTACAAAAATGTTTGAGCTTTTTTAAAAAATTATAATAATATAAGTAAAATAATAAACAACAGTGTCCTAGCTTAGAATTGTGACTCATATATTACATTAATAGCAAACTAAACACCCTTACAAGGGGAACAAACTATCTCAGCAGGCTGAGGGTTTCCACCTAGATTCAATGAGCCTATTCTTTAAAATAAGGTATTTGCTGGTACACTGCTAATGCAGCATCAAAGGGCTTAGACAATATTATGGCCTTTACAGCAATTAATTTCTGGATCTCTTTTGATAAGCTATATATGACATTGAACAGTATATATATATATATATACATTTCATAGATCCTAAGTCAAGAGTGATTAGATCAGTGTTTTCATAATTTCTCACATTACATATAGCAATTATATAAATCTACAGAAACTTACATACATATTTGTGTGTATATACATAATTATATATCTCTCTGTCATCATCATACATATGTGACATAAAATTCTTTCTTTTTTTCTAAGAATAATGGGAGTTTCAAGATAAATAAAAAGGCAGTATTGCTGCCCCAGAAGAAACTGCTGTCACAAAGTATGCCAACATATGTCAGACAGATAGATGCTCAATACTGAGAATACAATTCCCTATTAGGAGTTAGCTAAATATTCGTATTGTTCTTTGAATTAATTACAGGGTTGCCCCTAACATTAGTTTGGATTTTTTTTTCTTCTGACTAGTTAGGATCCTGTGAGTCTAATCTATATCAGATCAGTGCCAGGAGGTTGACTGTGTTGATAATATTTCATTGGGAAGTTTCTCTGAGATGTGTGACCCAGTTTGGCTTTTTATGAAGTACTAGAGGCCCGTTGCAGGAAGATTCCTTAAAGAATAGGGCTTCCTGTGGCTGGAGCGAAGCAGAGAAGGGAGCCAAACCCACCAAGGTGGGCTTCACTCCCGCCTCTGCCACCCTGCTTGCTTCCCCCACCCCCCATCTCCGCCGCCCCGCTTGCTTTCCTCCCGTCTCCGAGATCCTGTTATCCAAACCCCAGACACCTGAGCTCAGATCAGGAGCACACTCACAGGACCAGTACTTCCTCCGGGCCCGGGCCACTCCTTCAGTGCCCTCCCTCTGCCACTCAGCTCCCCTCTCCTTGCTCTAAGCCCTTCAGAAATTCAAGAATCCCATAAACCAAAGCCAGCGTGGGGTTGTTTCAGAGCCAGATTTCTAACAACACACCTTCCCTCAAGATAAAAGCTCAGAGCCTGACCACCTGCTTGAAACGGGTAGAGAAAAAAATACAGAAGAAGAAACACATATTAAGATCTAAATAAATTATCTTGACCCACTTAACATCCACACCCATCCACATACACGATTCCTAGCTCCCTTGCAGAAGTAGATGGTTTTATCAATTTATACTTATATTTAATTAATTTTCAGATTTTAGAGTTCTTGATGATTTGTCTACAAAAATGTTTGAGCTTTTTTAAAAAATTATAATAATATAAGAAAAATAATAAACAACAGTGTCCTAGCTTAGAATTGTGACTCATATATTACATTAATAGCAAACTAAACACCCTTACCAGGGGAACAAACTATCTCAGCAGGCTGAGGGTTTCCACCTAGATTCAATGAGCCTATTCTTTAAAATAAGGTATTTGCTGGTACACTGCTAACGCAGCATCAAAGGGCTTAGACAATATTATGGCCTTTACAGCAATTAATTTCTGGATCTCTTTTGATAAGCTATATATGACATTGAACAGTATATATATATATATATACATTTCATAGATCCTAAGTCAAGAGTGATTAGATCAGTGTTTTCATAATTTCTCACATTACATATAGCAATTATATAAATCTACAGAAACTTACATACATATTTGTGTGTATATACATAATTATATATCTCTCTGTCATCATCATACATATGTGACATAAAATTCTTTCTTTTTTTCTAAGAATAATGGGAGTTTCAAGATAAATAAAAAGGCAGTATTGCTGCCCCAGAAGAAACTGCTGTCACAAAGTATGCCAACATATGTCAGACAGATAGATGCTCAATACTGAGAATACAATTCCCTATTAGGAGTTAGCTAAATATTCGTATTGTTCTTTGAATTAATTACAGGGTTGCCCCTAACATTAGTTTGGATTTTTTTTTCTTCTGACTAGTTAGGATCCTGTGAGTCTAATCTATATCAGATCAGTGCCAGGAGGTTGACTGTGTTGATAATATTTCATTGGGAAGTTTCTCTGAGATGTGTGACCCAGTTTGGCTTTTTATGAAGTACTAGAGGCCCGTTGCAGGAAGATTCCTTAAAGAATAGGGCTTCCTGTGGCTGGAGCGAAGCAGAGAAGGGAGCCAAACCCACCAAGGTGGGCTTCACTCCCACCTCCGCCACCCTGCTTGCTTTCCTCCCGTCTCTGCCACCCCGCTGGCTTCTCCACGGCTTCACTCCCTTCTGCAGCAGTTGGCTTCCTTCTACGTTGTCTTCAGTCTTCGCTCCGCGCCTGTGTATGCAAATTAACCGCCATCTTCGTTGGGTTAATTTGCATACTCATCTGATTGGCTGGTTGGCGTAGCGGAGTGACACCAATTTGCATGTTTCTCTTTTATTAGTGTAGATTAGGAGGCTGACCCATTTGGGCCAAAGATATTAGATCCCTTCTCAGTCAGGAAAGCTTGGGATTCCCAGTCCTGCTTGGAGCCTACCCTTGAAAAGATGTGACCCTAGGTGTCGACACGTCCTCTAGAATGAAGAAAACCTGAGATTGGGCTACAGCCGTCAGGGCTTAATATCTTCACAAACCAGATTGTCCCTCTTCCGTTTGAATCAAGGGATCATGGGTAGAAACAAATCCCTGTCATCTCAAGTGAATTTTGGATCAATCATCACATTTTGGTAACATTAATTATTTTACTATGTGTGTTTTCTAGGAAACCTGACGAAGCATATGAAATCTAAAGCGCACATGAAAAAATGCCTGGAGTTGGGCGTCTCAATGACTTCAGTGGATGATACAGAAACCGAGGAAGCAGGTATTTATCATTTAGTTGGTGGACTATTGCACTACGTATGCTTCAGCTTTGTGGCCGGTGGTAAAATAAGTTTAGATGTGTGTTTTTTTTAAAAATGATCACATTTTATTTTATCAAATACTAAATATAGAAAAGAAGTCTGACATAGTGAATTGCTTGAAACCCACTAAGAAGAAGCAAATGCATTTCAGTTTATAAGTAGGAAGGGAGAAAGGTCTTACCAAGAAAATATTTCTATCTAGAACCATAAAGGAAATCCAGCTGTACTTTTGTTGTGTTAGGAATGTACATTTTATAAAACTTTCTGGGAAATTTGAAAATTTGAATGTCTTATTTTTCCTATTAAGAGGAAATAAAATAGGAAAAGAAAACATCATTAACCTCAATAGAAAACCTGAGGCTCAGCCAAACCTCCTGAGATACTCTCCTTACACATAAGCTTATACCTGTAGAGATAGGTTGTTGCTTTTATTTATTTTTTTCTAACATTATCATTTACAACATTACATACATATTTGTTGGGAGTTTTCTATTAGTGGTGTGATATCTGAGATATAAGATCCTACTCTGGAGTTTTTACTATAAGGTGGGTTGGCATAGGACAGGTACATGAAAGATAAGAACCAGTGCAGGTTTACGGAGGTATGTGTCCAGTGAGTGTTACAGGAGTTCAGAGATGGAACTATCTGCAAGGGCTGGAGGGTTGAGGAAAGCTTTTGGAAAGAGGTGGGGCCTAAATTAGCTCCTAATCTTGATGTTTGGATCTGGAACTCCACTATCTTTGTTCAATTGTTTCAGAAACTATGGAAGATTTGCACAAAGCAGCTGAAAAGCATAGCATGTCCAGCATTTCAACTGATCATCAGTTCTCAGATGCCGAAGAATCGGATGGTGAGGATGCAGATGATAATGATGATGATGATGAAGATGATGATGACTTTGATGACCAGGGAGATTTGACACCAAAAACCAGATCAAGAAGCACCAGTCCTCAGCCTCCTAGATTCTCCTCCTTGCCTGTGAATGTTGGCGCCGTACCCCATGGGGTTCCCTCAGATAGTTCCCTGGGACATTCTTCATTGATCAGCTATTTGGTTACTTTGCCAAGTATTCAGGTTACTCAGCTTATGACACCAAGTGACTCATGTGAAGATACCCAGATGACAGAATACCAGAGGTTATTCCAGAGCAAAAGTACAGACTCAGAACCAGACAAAGACAGGTTAGACATACCCAGTTATATGGATGAAGAGTGCATGCTGTCTTCAGAGCCCAGCTCCTCTCCGAGGGACTTCTCTCCCTCAAGCCACCATTCCTCACCGGGATATGATTCTTCACCCTGTCGGGATAATTCACCAAAGAGGTATCTGATACCCAAAGGAGATTTATCACCCAGAAGACATTTATCACCTAGGAGAGATCTATCACCCATGAGACATCTTTCACCAAGAAAGGAAGCTGCATTGAGAAGAGAGATGTCACAAAGAGATGTTTCACCAAGAAGGCATCTGTCCCCAAGGAGGCCATTGTCACCTGGGAAAGATATCATGGCAAGAAGAGACCTCTCTCCCAGAAGAGAGAGAAGATACATGACTTCCATAAGAGCACCATCTCCCAGAAGGGCTTTATACCACAACCCACCATTGTCTATGGGGCAGTATTTGCAAGCAGAGCCGATCGTATTGGGGCCTCCTGTGAGTATGAGTAGCTTTCTCTTTTTAATTTATAAGTCATAGCGCATGAGAACCTCTTGATAACACAGTAGTGTGGAATTTATAACATGAGTCTCTCTTATGGGGAGGAGTGAACGCGGTTACTGAAAATAGCAGGAAGACATTTTTATCACAAGCTATTGTCAGTAACATGGCTGTGGCATTACCCCAAGTGTAGTAGTATTGCATCAGAGCAGTGGTGCATTCCAGCTGGTAACAGGTGAGGCCTTCCTAAATGCTTTCTAAGCTTAACTAATTATAAACATGAGCTGAAACTTCGACATGAATAGAAAAGATAAAGTCTTTGGACTGTCATGAATGCTTAGACCAGCGGTTCTCAACCTGTGGGTCACGACCCCTTTGGCGGTCGAACGACCCTTTCACGGGGGTCGCCTAAGACCATCCTGCATATCAGATATTTACATTATGATTCATAACAGTAGCAAAATTACAGTTATGAAGTAGCAACGAAAATAATTTTATGGTTGGGGGTCACAACATGAGGAACTGTATGTAAAGGGCCAGAAAGTTGAGAACCACTGGCTTAGACAGACACTCTTGGGGGTATTTAGTTGTCATAGTTATATAACTCTTTGCTAGGTAAGGATTCTGATTCAGGTATTAGTCTTGCCTTTCAATAACTTTTTGAAAAATAAACTCATTACCTTGAGCACGACCTTGCTCACAATGAGTGAACATGTGACACTAATGAGGGACTGGGAGAAGAGAGAATGATCCCCGCTGTATGTTTGTAAATCAAAGGCATCAACATATATGTGTGTGTTTTACCATTACTTCCATCTCCTGGTAACCAAGGGCACTTGCTTAGTGAGATAGGGGCCCAAAGAGAGTGGGAATTTGGGAGAGCTAAAAGAGAAAGTATCAGAGGAGATTTCTAGGATATGCCCTCAGTGTAAATTAAGAGAACAATAGTACAATCATGAATTAAATTTAGGCAGAAGGTTTAATGCAAATGCATTGAGGGAGGCCAGCTGCCTCCCTGTTATTACCATTTCACCAGCTTGAATCATAAGCTTAGGTTGTTGAATTTTTCAACTTTAGGAAAGCTCCCTGGTGTTGCTTTTTAGTCCCCTGCCACCAACATCCTCTTTTCACAAGCCTGCCATCAACTTAGTTTTCAAGCTGTAACTATTGCAGAAACATGTATAGCAAACAAGATGGAATTTATTTGCCAAGCTAATAAACTAGCTAGCTAAGAAAAAAGAAGTAAGTTTCCACTGGTGTTTGTGTCTTGGTGGTGTTAAGTAGAAAGGAGGAATCTGAAGTTAACGCCATTGCAGCATAAAGAGTGATAAAGCCCTCAGGTGCCAGGACACTGCATCTGGGTGTAAAATGCTTTCTCTGGTTTAGACCCAGTGATGCTGGTGGTATGTGTGAGATATGACTCTCCTGTTCTGAAGTGGTCAGGTAGACTGAGACTGTGGTATTAGTAAGATGTTGGAGCATATTCAATCAATTGTAGTCACCCAAAAAATAAGCCTTGCTCATGCCAGTTTAGCTCAGTGGATAAAGCCCTCAAACTCAGGTTTGATTCCGGTCAAGGGCATGTACCTCAATTGTAGGCTCGATCCCTAGCCCTGGTTGAGGCACAACCAATAGATGTGTATCTCTCTCACATCGATGTTTCTCTCTCTCTGTCTCTCCCCCTCCCTTCCACTCTCTCTAAAATGTCAATATAAAAATATCCTTGAATGAGGATTAACAACAACAAAAAATAAGCCTTTAGTGCCAACACAGTATTGTTATTAAAAAATAATAGCACTCACAATCAACTGGGGCAAAGGAACTGAAGAAGTAGGCTAAGGGAGTTCATCTAACTTTTGCATACACTAGTATGCCCAATTCACCTAGATATTTAATAGCATTATTAAACATTGCCATTTATGAAGCCCAAGTGCTGAGCCTTTGGTCTATTACCCAGTGTAATTATCTTGAGAGAATTGATAACCCACTTCTTTGGTCACATGATATGATGGAACAGATCTGGGAATCCTTCCTGAAGCAGAAGCATTTGATCCCAAACACTTTTATGCTTTATCACACAGTTTCTGAGGGGCAAAGGAGGATTTGCATCTTTCTGTGATGTATACATTAGCTTCTTGTTGCCAGACAAAATAAAATTGGCAATACTATGAGAAGTATTTCTCCTGATTGCTGTATTTGATGAGTACTTCACCCTTCTGAGTAATGTTTGAAAATATTAAATTGCATTACCCCTAAAATATTTTTTGGTGTTTTTTTTTTATGGAAATGCTATTAGCAATACCTTTGTGGTTGCTTAACCTTGACCAAGGGCTCACAAGACAGTGACTGTGGTGTGAAAGGACCTTGTAGCCCAGCATATTACACTCATTATTAGTTTGAGTGGTAGGCCCCAGGGAGCAGGTTTGGAGGAGATGATATGCAATCACTGGGACTCTATTACCCTGCTGTTTCTGCCCTAATGCCTCCTGGTTAGTTTCAATTTTAGGATGAATGGATGACTAGATAAATAGATAGACAGACAGACACATAGATACATAGAATAAGAAGGTAAGTCTTTTTTTCAGTTAGTAAATATTTCTTAAAAGTCTACTATATGAGGCTCAAGGATAAGGGTGAAATGTTGTCCTCATCTTTTCCAAATATAAAACATTTCCATTTTTAAAGATTTGGTAGATCAATAGCAAGGAGACAAAAGAGTGTCTTGGTCCTCAGTACATAGTGTAGATGAACATTGTGTCCATTGAAAGAGTCCACATTCGCTTCTTTCCTTTGCTATCTCTATGATCTTGGGCAAGTCACTTAACCTCTTGGTCATAGTTTCCTAATCTGTTTGTGGCAGCCAGAGAGCTGATCCAAGCAGATTTCGGTCCTGGAAAGAACTTGCCATTCAACTGTAAGGAATGTAGTCAGCTGAGAACTTCCTGCTGTTAGCTCCCTCAGGGCACACCTCAGTTTTTAAGCCAAGGCCATGCTTTGTTCTGGAGCCCCCAGCCAATGCCTGAGCCCAGATGGGTCACAGCTAAGCTGAGCACTTGCTTCATTTCCCCATTACCTTCCCCTGCATTAGCTCCTCTGCTCCTGCCCCCACCTCCACACACACCAACCAGTGAAACCTCTTTCAATCCTTCCTTCTTAGCATTTGCTTCCAGAGGGCCTACTGACACTGTTGAAAAGATGAGTGGGATAATCTGGCACGTGGGAGATATATATAATACAACCCACACATGAATTCATTATTTGTATTTTCACATCAAGATTTTTCTTACTTTGATTTAAATAAGTTGCGAGTTTGTTCACATATCACAACAACAAAGCATAAATTACAGAACACAATAGGGTTGCAAATGGAGTAAAAACCGAAGTAGAAACACCTTATTGAGAATTTATTAGGAGGGTGAAGAAGGGGTGAATAGGCAGAGAGAGGATGTGTGGTTACCTGATAGGAATTCTGCTTGTGTACTAACTTCTGTGGTTGTAATCATTGATTTTCTGATCAGTAAAGGTCTAAATGTGACACTTCTATTCTTAACACAAATCCAGTTTTGTTGGAATTTGAACATAATGAATAAATTTTAGTTTTACAAGTTCATCATTCCCTTCAAGAGCCTTGAGTGAGAGACCTCATGCAATGGGAGCTCTCTCTCTCTCTCAGGCTCCCTCCCAGACCCCATTCTGATTAGGGGTATGCAGTGGCTATCATGGAATAGCAACCCAAAGCAAAATGGAAAAATAACCAAACCACATTTCACCTTAAACTTTGAATCTGTAACAACTGTGACTAAAAGATTCACTTGATTATTTTCAAGGATTATTGTAGGCATTACAGTTCTTCAACCTTAATTGGTGTTTGATAAAGGAAATGTGCCTTTTTCAGAACCAAAGCAAATACAAGTAGGATTTTTTTGGTAGCATATAATGAGTCTTTCATGCCATAAAATTCTCTCCTTATCTAACTTATTAGGCCCTTGTGATTATAGGGTTGATGATTACATGATTTCTCATGCACTTCCAGGACAAATCATTTGTTTTTAGCTTGAATAAGTTGGAGCCTGGAGCAGGGTAAGGCCAAGTATGGCACAGAGTAGCAGAGATGATGCATAATTTATCATTCCTGAGCCGATCTCACAATCTAAATAGAACTGGATGAATCATTAATGGTATAAAGCATACCTTGAGTTTTAGAACTGAAACATTCATGAAATGAATGAAAACATTTTCTTTTTGTCTGTCTCCTGGATTACTACCATACTTGACATGTTTAATCTCCATTTGATTTTAAGTTCTCAAAAAAATAACAATAAACTGATGATAATCCATTAAAAGAATGAATCTCAGTCATTAAAACCACACAATCTCATTAAAACCTGATAATCTCACAGTCTAAATTGTGTTTTGCTACAGAAACATTTGTAGAAAATAAGTTTTCTATTTTTTGGGCTGGAAACCATGAAATCTGGAATTCTGGCCAAAAATTTTAAGTATCTTTAATTCATTAATTTATGAGAAGATATGTAAATGGAAGTAATAATATAAACAGAGGACTTAAGACACCGTCGTCTTTGGTTCCCACCTGTGTAGTTGAGTAAGAGCTGTAACTACCCAAAGTATTTAGAGTTAACTGCTTATCTGATGGATTGATAGTTTCCTTATAAAACCCACCCTTGATTTGGTGAAGACTCTGGTCATCTGCCTGGGGTGTCTCTTGAGCAGGAATGTATTTCATTAGACTAACAACTTGCACTTTGGAGCAACCAGTTTGTGTATTGCCATCATTTTGTCATCTACTCGGTAAACATTTTCCTTTTTATAAATACAAATTTTTAGGCTTGTTACTTTGATTATACTTATTAACACTTCAGAAAAATGTTAAAATTCTACATAGTATATAAATGGATGGTAATATTTTTAATTTCTTTTGAATTTAAAAATCTATTATTAGTGTCGTTTTGCTTGGAAAACTTTTTCTAGTAATTTTCCATTATTTCCTTTTCATCCTTTCTTATGAAAAAAAAAGCAGAGTTAAAATTGTAACCTAGTATAAAGCACATACATGTTGTATCACATTGCTGTTTATAAAGTAAAGTAACTTTTCAAAGAAGGGCAGCTTCATTCAAGGATTCTAAACGACAACTGAGATACCTCTTTTGTATTGAAAATGAAAAATTAATCAAAGGATCAGGTAGTTTTAAAGTGTTTTGAATGAACCAGTGAAAGCGTGAATGGATGAAAAAGTTTGACCTAAGCATGAAGAACAGCGGGTCCTAACTGTTGTGCTCTCTGTTTCCAACGCAGAATCTAAGAAGAGGATTACCTCAGGTTCCTTACTTCAGTCTCTACGGAGACCAAGAAGGTGCTTATGAACATCCGGGCTCCAGCCTCTTCCCTGAGGGACCTAATGACTATGTCTTCAGTCATCTTCCACTCCACTCTCAGCAACAAGTACGAGCTCCTATCCCCATGGTGCCCGTTGGTGGGATCCAAATGGTTCACTCCATGCCGCCGCTCCTCTCTGGTTTACATCCTCCACCCACATTGCCTCTGCCAATGGAGGGCTCTGAGGAGAAGAAAGGAGCTTCCGGGGAATCCTTCGCTAAGGATCCCTACGCTATTTCTAAGCAGCACGAGAAGCCATCTCCTCACCTTTTGCAGTCATCTGGTCCACCCAGCATGCCCTCCTCTCCTCGGCTATTGATGAAACAGAGCACTTCGGAAGACAGCTTAAATGCAACAGAGAGGGAACAGGAGGAAAATATACAGACTTGTACAAAAGCCATTGCCTCTCTCCGGATTGCCACAGAAGAGGCCGCTCTGCTTGGGGCAGACCAGCCAGCACGGGTGCAGGAGCCCCACCAGAAACCCTCGGAAAGTGCACATGTTAGCATTAGACACTTTAGTGGACCTGAGCCAGGCCAGCCCTGTTCCTCAGCTACCCACACTGACTTGCATGATGGTGAAAAGGACAACTTTGGTACATCACAGACTGCATTAGCTCACTCCACGTTTTACAGCAAGAGTTGTATGGATGACAAACAGTCGGGCTTTCACGGCAGCAAAGAATTATCTTCAAGCACAGAGGAAGGCAAAGAACCTTCGTCGGAAAAGAGTCAGCTACATTGATCTCAGATGCATGGAGACTTTCATTTCCACATTTTCTTATTTTGTTTTGTTTTTTCTAGAAATAGAGGTAATCAAGTTTATAGCATGCCTGTCCTGAGTTACAGTAGTTTGCTATTATATATACTTTTGTTATAGCAAAAGAATAGGTAAATTAACAAGTCATCATGAGCCTGACCAAAACAAAATTTGAAATTAACCTATTGGGTCTGGTACTTTTAAAACTGTACAGATGTTTGTGCCTTTTCTTTACTTTGCTTATATTCTTATAAGCATTTTTTAGCAGTAATTTGTACATATTTTAGAATTTGTGTATCTGCTTTGTAATAAATGTAATTTCTTTCCTTTTTTGGACACTTGGATCTAAATGATATAAAGCAAAACAGCATCAATATATATGTGAGGTTGCACTAAAACATATTTTTATATGATTAAAACTGAACAGCTTTTATGTACAGCTCTGATTCTGTAATACTAATATTTATTTACCTTGTTTCATAAATTGTACATTTTTTCTTAATGTTGTGGATTGCTTTTCTATGTGAAGCATGGGATTTACTGTTGCATAACTAGAACAAAAATGTATATTGTAAACAAGATATTTAAACTAGAGTATCTTATTCTGCACTTATGCATTAGTTACAAAAAAGATAAAGGATGTATCAGTCAGTTCTTAACTCTTGTAAATTTTTTTGTCTCTTGTTTGCTGGATTGACTATAACTTAAGTGCTGATTGTGATTTTAAACTGATAGTACCGTAAAGCATTAAAGTAAACAATGTGCTATTGTGAGTTTTTTCAAAGCTTTATAAATCAGTTATAAATAATATTAAAAGTATTTGGTCTTATGTGAACATGTTGATCTATATACTCATCGAAAAATATGGGAAAACATTCCGCCCCATGTAAATATGTACAAGTGCATCACTGGTACAATTTTATGTAACTCAGTTGGACACTAGGTTGCCACAGACCTATGCTAAGGTGTCTTTAAAAATTAAAGTGACAAAGCACATGGGACTTTGTAGAGCTTGGTTATCGGCCGGCCCGGTGGCTTGGCAGGCAGTGCTGGGCGCTGCCTGTGGAGAAGACCTGGGCTTAGAAATCTCCTTGGTTCTTGCTGCACACGACGGTGACTGAGCTAAGGCTACTATGGAGGGGTTACTCTTGGACTCTGAGGAGTGGATGTGGAAGCGGGGAAGAGGCATGGAGACCTACCTGCTCATAGCCCTTCCTGTCAGCCAGTCCACACGGTAACAGGGTTGGCATCAGCTTTAGGAGAAGCCACTTTACCCTTTGGAAGAGGGGAAGAGTGTCACATTTCTGGCTATCTCAGGGGGAATGGGAGGAAGAAGCTTTCCAGGGGAAAGAACTTGTGGGAGCAGGAGGTTTTTTGTATATAACATTCAAAGTGGGCTTTGGTTGGTGGCATAAGTGGGCAGAGCCTTTGTAGGTCCAGAGGAATGGCAGAAAAGGAGGGTACCACATGTGCACACACACCCCTGTGTGTGCACGCGCGCACACACACACACACACACACACACACACACACACAATCTGGGTTATCTTTGTGCTATATAGTGGATTATAATTCTGTGAAACCAAGTTTGTATATTGAATTACATTAAGGAGTGTTCTTTAAAAAGAGAAATAAATATACAATTACATGCTTGAGGTGTCTAGTTTTTATGTGTTGTTTTACATTTTAAGTTTGCCCATTTTGGTTTCTAAAAAAATTTTGATGCTACCAACATACCATCTGTGCCTTTAATTGCCAGGCTCAGCCCATCTTGCGGTATGCTAATATGAATGCTTTTAACAAGTGAGAAGACAGCCATTGGCTTCCACATGTCTTCCATTAAGACAGATAGTGGTCACCACAGTGTGGGCCCAAAAATGGACGCATCGGAATGTCAGCATGGGCACTTGCAGAATACATTGTATCTGAAAAGAGTCATGGGTAAAGCAAATTATCATTTCCCTTTAGGCCTCCTCTCAGTATGCTTACATGTCTGAAATTTCACTGGGGAAACCTCTTTTTTAAAATTTTGTCAGTAACTGAAGGCAAAAAGCCAACTGAAATAAGTACATCATAAAATATCTACATATCATAGTTCTTTTATTACAAAAGAGTAGAACCTTTTAAATAATGAAAGTAGAAGTTTATTAAAGGTCAAAATCTATCAGTATTGCCATTATAAAAATCTCAAATTGGTGGATTTACAACTCAACTATTTTCTTTTATGAGCTAGACTGTCTTTTTAAACTATGTTTTACAAAGGTGAATTAAAGGTCAACAAAGCCAGCCAGCCTAATATCTGTCTGTCATGGAGAAGAATCCTTGAAACATTCAATTACTTAGAGTAATGTGTGTCTTACTCTAAACCAAGATCTCCCTGTCCAGATTTGCTTAAAGAACAGTTTCTGATTATGTATGCTGTTCTCATTTAGACCATATTACAATAATGACAATTTACAGTAAAATGCTAGGGTTGAATGATCTCAAAGTAACAGAAAGCCCACAAGGTTATTATTACTAAATATGTTGGCACCTACTTTGTCAAAGTATACTGTCCCTCCCTCCCCAGGCTGTTTGACATCAGAGCTTGAAAATGTTCCCCTTGATTCTTGAGTGTAGAGAAACCTCTGTGTACCCATACCCCAGATTCAGCAATAAACCACATTTGGCCATGTAGCAGACATACTGGAGCACAGGGAAAATGTCAGAAAATACTTTATTTGGCATTTAAAAGTGCCAAGGAATGACAAGCACAAAGTATCAATCTTCAATATTACCGTACACTCTGTGGATCATTTTATATGTGCACATCCATTGCTTAGCAACAACTAGGATCGCATTCAGAAATATATGTTGGTCATCAAAATGAGCCAAACCATCAGATGTCCTCTCTCTGTTTGTTAAATTCCTCAAGTGTATTTTAAATTCGGCTACAGATGACTGGCATGTTTTATACTTCAAGTGGATGCCAAGCTTTGTTATCTTCTTAAAGTATACATTTAACAATTATGGTTTGATGTGAACAAGATTTATTTTTGGCAAAAAAAATATAATGCTTAATACATTTTAGTAATTCATTGAACATTATGTTAATGGATAAAATATTATAAAATAATAACTTTTCTATTAAAAATTCCTAAGGAGTCTTATATGATATCAGCGATCAAGCCATATCCCCAAAACAAAGTGAAAAGTTCAAGCAGTTCTGTGGATAATGAAAAGAGAAAAATTAAAAAGGTGCAACAGGACTTCTCCAAGGAGAGCAAGGTGTAGGATTACCTCAGTAACTGTGGTAAATCAAACAGAAAGTGTGGCAGCAGCAGGGGACTGGGGCGCTTTACTCTGAGCAGTTGGCCTGCCTATCGAAGCCCCTGGACATCTAAATCCTCACAGGCATTGCGTTTTACAGCCAAGTTCCCGGCGTGAAGAAGGGCAAAGGCCACGTGAATCCTTTAGTCTTGAGCATCTCTACCCTTAGCAATAATTTGTCTTGAGGTGCAGGTCTGATTATAAGATAACCTTCAATTGTATGAATACCCCTTGTCATGATTTAAGGGTGGATGGTGGCTTTAGATTTTGCAGACTCAAAATTGTTATCCTTGTCAGTTTCATCTTATTATTATACCCCATACACACACTGTATATTGTCTAGGGAGCCAGTTCCTTTAATTGGGACAGCATTCCAATATGAAAGCATTTTTAGCTAACAATTAAGAACTATATGTTAACCCTGTTTTCAGTGCTTTAGACTATTCGCTCATTTAATGGTCACAAAACTGAAAGAATTAATTGCTTGTGTTTACACAGCTAGTATGTAGAAGAGAGCAGGCAGTTGAGTTCTAGAGCAAACTATCCAATAGAATGTTCTGCAATGATAAAAATGTCCTGTTATCTGCCTTTTCCAATACAATCCTCTCTAGCTACCTGTGGCTACTTGCACCTGAGATGTTCAAGTGTAATTGAGAGACAGGTTTTTAAAATTTTATTTAATTACTAGAGGCCCAATGCACAAAATTCGTGCAGTGGAGGGGAGGGGGGTGTCCCTCAGCCCGGCCTGAACCCTTTGCAATCTGGGACATCCCCCTCACAATCCGGGACAGCTGGCTGCTAACCGCTCGCCTGCCTGCTTGCCTAACCACCTCTGCTGGCCTGATTGCCACCTAACCGCTCCCCTGCTGGCCTGATGGCCCCCAACTGCCCTCCCCTGCCAGCCTAATGGCCCCCAACTGCCCTCTCCTGCTGGCCTGATCCACCTAACTGCCTAACTGTTCTCCCCTGAGGGCCTGATCCACCTAACTGCTCTCCCCTGCTGGCTTGATCACTCCTAATCGCCTCTGCCTCAGCCCCTGCCACCGTGGATTTGTCCAGAAGGAAGTCAGATGTCTGGAAGATGGCCAGTTGACCCGGTCTAATTAGCATATTGCCCTTTTATTAGTATAGATACGTAATTTAGTGACCATATGTAGCCACTGGTTTCTGAATTGGACTGCACAGCTTGACAGGTTGTATACTTACTTTTGACACAAGCTGTACCACATATTTCCATACACGTCAGTCATTTGACAAATATTGAACTCCTATCATGTGCCAGGCTCCCTTCTTGGTACTGGGTATATAGGAATGAACAACAAAAAATAGAACAAAACACCTGCCATGATAAAACTTGTGTTCAGTGCTTACCATTAAACATCCAGTTAAGGATTTTGGTAATGCAGTTCTACTGATTGTTCCCCTTTCTGTTGAGTTTCAGACCTTGGAACTCACCCAAGGAATAACAACAACCAAAGCAGGATTTTATGAAGAGGTAAACAAGCCCCTGATGCAAATCCTCCTCCCCTGCTGAAAGTCTCTTGTACAAGCTAGGGTGAAGGCTACATCATAGTCTCAGGATGGATGCGGGTCCCCACTTCCTGCCTTGGTGTAAATGCACACGCTCCAGCAGGTCTATGAAGAGAGAGGCAGGACTGGGCTCCAGGAAGGGCCTGACAGCCTACAGCTCCTGCCCAGGAAGCAGAGGTCTGTGGGAAAGAGCTGTCTGCCCTCTGCTCCTGGAAGTCCCGCCTTGCATTTCTGAATAGCACACGTAAGTAAACTGGAGGGAAGCAGAAGAAAAGAGTCAGCTGGGGGTGGGGGGGAGAGGGTTGTCTTGAACTCATAGGACAGCTCTCCTTCACAATAACAAAAGGGGTGGAGATTCGGAAGAAATGGAGAGTGTTCCTTCCTCTTAAGTGAGGAACCTGGGGGAAAAGGCTTCTCTTTCAAACATTTCCCATCGGTTTACTAGCCACTCAAGGGCAACCATACTGGGAATCTTCCACCTTTTGTAGAAAACCTACCATCACCATGGACCCACTGCTCCCCCTAAAACACATTCTGTGTCTCCATGTTATCCTCTTGAAATTAGTGAGATTATAAATCAAGTAATATTAAACTGACACAAACTGGACAAAGAAATAAAATAACTGCAACTTAGGTAAATAATTGGACATCACAGCCATTTCTGGAAAGAATTAAGCTCATCAAAAGACGATTTAACTATTTTCTCAAATCTCCTAAGGAGAGCTCATAACTAGTACCATCCTCACAGTGGATGTCTTAGCTGACTAGTCCTATTCTTATGGAATTCTATTGGTGAAGTGATGCGCCATAGTATACTTTCCCGCCTCAACTCAAGCCCAGCCACATTGTCACATCTGGTTTACCAGATATTATACATTTAGTATCACAGGTCAGCATAAAATTCTTTCAATTTGTACTTTAAATGCTACTTCAAGTTTATATGTGCTATAAATGCAAAGGATATGCCAGATTTTGAAGACATAGCACAAGGAGAATGCCAACTATCTCATTAGTAATTTTCATATTGAAAACATGTTGAAAAGATTCCATTTTGGATATAGTAAGTTACATAAAATGTTATTACAATTGATTTCCCATGTTTTCTTTTCTAAATATTGCTACAGAAAATTGACTGTTGCATATGTGGCTCACACCACATTTCTATTGGATGACTTTTTCAGTGAGAAACATTTTTTTGAACCGAGAAAACTGCACTTAGCTGACCATGTGTGTAGGAATATACAGCTGCACACACTAACACCTACCAGAGACCTCATTTCACCACCTGCATTATGAGCCACGTTCACACACATAGTGCATGGTGTCCTGACTTTCTGGATCATTTTGGAGAACCCGCCTGCCACTATTTCACAATAACTCATTAATTGCTTCTCTCTGTCACCACTTCCACTAGCAAACTTTAGGTCTTTTTCACATTAAGTGCTCTATTTATTGTAATACTTGTGTATTTCTTAACCATTCAACACTGTGCTACTTCTGTTACTGGGGTCCTATCTTTATGTGTCACCATGAAATTTCTGAGTATTATGTCTCAACTCTGTTTTTCTCATAAGCCCTGTAGATTTTATTACATGATTTTGGTAGCACAGAGATTTTTAGGAAAGCACATGTCTTCTTATAGCAGAAATTACTTATTAAAATTCTATACCTCCCCCCCATCAAAAATTTGTCTTTATAATAACACAGAATTCAGTTCTAGGTTCATTTCAATCTAAATAGATTTTTCATTTTCAGGGGTGTCTTGTTTGAAGGGTCATTAGAAAGTTGGACTAAACTGTCTTAAGCATTTCTGG